CATTCAATTTAAAATTTAAATGCAATTTGTTCAAATTATTTAAATGAATTTTATGCTTTTAAGTAACAAATTTGTTACATTAAAAATCAAATACATTTAAGGGTTACGTACTTCCCCTTTATAAAAAAACTCTTAGAAATTATTTTCTATGAGCTTTAACACCCTGTAAATTGAAGCTACGTTTGCTAAGTAATATGGATATGGAAATCATTTCGCATATTTTTGAAAAAGAAAAATAAATAGCAATCTACATTAAAAAAAAGTAAAATATTTTTCTAAAAAATCTGATGGGGTTAGTTCATAACCGACCTTAAAGTACATGCCTAGTTTAGTTTAATGAAAGTGTTACACAATTTTAAAGACATTAGTAAGTTTTTCAGTTAACATATCTAGAAAAATGTAAATTTGGCTCTTAGTAGAATTTCACTTTGTGCTTGTCGAATTCATTGAAAAGTTTGCCAGTTAATTTTGGTAACAACCAGAACTCAAATATTGAATGAAATTTTAATGAATTGGTTGATTATTTCTCTTCTTATGGTCAAAAATGTAAAACCAAAAATGGGCAAATCTCACATATAGAATTTCATCAAAATCAGTTCATCCGAACTTTAGATATAGGTGTGCACTTAACAGACATTACGACATCTCTCTAAAAATAGTTTATTTACGCTTCCCTACAATGAAGATAAGTGCGTTTTTACCCTAAACTCGACATCCGAAATTTGGTGCCATCACATAACCCTCCATATTGTATGCAATGCGGTCAGAGAAAATGCCGGGAACACTATTTTTAAATAGGAAGTACAATTTGATATCAAATAAGAACTGAAACATGAAGTATACTTAAGTAGTTTAAGTGTTACGAAAAGTGTTCAAGGTGTAACATAAACTTAAAAGTACCAGAGTTTAGGAAGAAAAATCGACCCGTGCAGAGAGTGGAAATACTTTCTAAAGAAATTGTTTATACGAGTACTTGTATTTCAAATCAGTTTCATATATAAGCATTTTCATATAAAAGAAATTTCTATTCACCTTTATGTTCAATTCGAAAATTTCTTTCTAATGCGTGGTTATGTCTTTGAAAAATCTACTTAAGCGTATATATAACATAATGACAATTTATCGTCTACCTACATTGAATCCATCAATTTAAAAAAATCCAAAATTTTTATCCTAAGAGATTTTATATATTTTGTTTTGCACAAATTATTTGTATTGAGGGCTCTAAATGATGTGTTTGGAAGTAATTGAATAAGACTATTGAATGTTTATTGTTTATAGAATATATTTGTGGAGTTGAAATTAATATCAACTTATTTTTGACGTTACAAGGAAAAACTGCTATAATCCTGGTTCTATTAGAAAACTAGAAAATTTTGGTTTTATTATTGTTTTCCATTTTGTTTCCAATAGTATTGCAGCAAAAAATTTGTTTACTGCAGAAAACGCGAAAAATTTCTTTTTGCTAGGTCAAAAACTTTCAGTCAGAAATCCTAAACTTTTATATGAAAGCTTGGTGAATTGAATGAGTAAAGCAACATTAACAGGATATATGGGGTTATGTTGTTGAAATGAAGTAGACACAATTATCTGATTATTAGGTTTTTCAAAAGTTTTATAGTCAGGGGGATTATTGATGTAACAATAATTAGGCATGGCGCAGTCATTTGCCCCTCAGTCGACTAAACTAAGTCATGATGGGACTCTTATCAGTCTAGTAGAGGGTATCGTCTCAGCGACCGGCTATACCGAAAGTTCATTCGTAATGACTGTGTAATAAATATGATTGAAAAAAATTTTAATCTATACCTGCAAATAGCAGATTCTGACGATACAACAAACACAACAAATTTGTGATTATTATAGAACGTAATCATAAATTTTGATACTTTTAATTACGATACGAAGTTTTATTTTCTACATAAGAAGATGAAAATTTATAATGTTTGGTAAAAGACATTAATGGATTGAAATTGTGCTATTAACATAAAAAAGGCACTGACTTTAAAATTTTTTAACATTATTTTTGCTTCATGGTCATTGTAACGACTCTTTTCATATATACTAATACAATAATAGTTTCAAGTTTCAGCTGAAACATGATAATTATAATGGTTTGAATATTTTTATGACTTTTTATTATTTCAAATTTCATAATGTTTATTAAGACGTTTATAAAGTTTATGTATTTTGATATCAAGGGTAATTTGACTACAATTAATTTCATAACTTTTTTTTTATTATGCCTCTTAATAGTTTTCTCTATTTATATTTTAGGTGTGGTCAATACAATTTCGAAAGCAATAAAATATTATTTTTATAAAGTTGAATTTCTATTTACAAATTCCACATCGAAATTTCTTTGTTACTATGTACATAAGTTTGTATAATTATCAATTAACTACTTGTAACTACTAAAGCTTTGTAAGTGTCATTTAATCTTGGTTAGGTTTTGGTATTGATGCAAAAAATAGATGTATGTACTACCGAATTTTTAAATTGTTTTGCTTTTTTGAAATTAAGAGAAAGAGCCAAAAAACGAATAAAAATACTAAAGATAAATTTTAAATTCTCAAACACTTTATTAACAAATTTCAAATTAAATTTCAATAGTTTAAAGTTATGTTGATTTTTATTTCAACGATTACTTTCCCCTAAAGATATGCTAGAAAAATAAGTACATTAAAAAAATTCAAACTCGAAATTTTGAGTAGGTAAAATTTTCTATGTACACAGTTGAAATTTTTTATTTCTAATACATTGAAATTTTGCATATTTATATTATATACAAGATTAAAGTAAAATAAAAATGAAAGTTTTAACAGAAACTATTTTAGTTTTAACTAAGTACATAAACAAAAGCAATTAAATATTTGGCTATATAGTATAGCTATTCTACACATGATGCAATGCTGTTGGTTCAATTATTGTTTAGATAGGAGAAATATATAAAATCAATAATTTATGCTGTTTGCAATATTACAATTGTTTTTCCAAAATCGAGTTTTTAATAAAAACGGAAATAAAAAGATTTTACTTAGTTTAATAGTTGCACAAGTTTTAATATTCGGAATAGAAAACAATGGCAAATTAAATTCTGTTGAATAATTTAAATACACGCCTGAAATTTTCATAAAAAAAATTGAATTTAGTTATAGCTATTAAAATAAAAATAATTTTTATAGAAAAAATTAAATATTAAGCTTGGCAATATAGGGAGGTTATAGTTTCTTTTCAAGTAATTTTTTCTTTTATTAGAAATATGAAAATAAAATATAAAGATTGAGCTTTGAACTGGTTTCTCCTGCCTATTGTGAAAAATTTTTTATGGATTTATCCTTTTCGTAGAATTGATTTTAATCGAATTTTCATTTATAAAATGTTTTATAAAATGAAAAAAAAAAATAGTTAAAAATGATGTTGTTTCATTTAATTTTTTTTTATTGAGTGTATACAAGAATAATTCAATTTACAATTGGAAGCTATATGGATATAATAAAAAGTTTATTTTTGTCACAAAATGAAATAAAAGGAATTAAAATGGAAAAGAAAAATTAAAATGCATAACATGAAATTTAAAACTTTGAGAATAGTAAATATGAAAAATTCTTCCAATTTTGTACAAAAGGATATGACTGTAAACATAGATTCATACATACATGCATAAAATAATTTTGAAGTAATATTTGAATTTATTTCTGAAGCTATTTGTTATGGCGAGAAAAAAACTTTCATAAAATATGGACGCGAATATAAAATCTTTAATAATAAATATTCACTTGTTTATTACATAGAAACAATAATATAGAATTTACTAAATTTGTTTGAATATTGTTTGATCTAAAATATGTAGAAGTTCATATGTTTTTAGTAATTTTATTAAGTCATAAATTTTAATAATTGCAGATGTTGATAAATGAAAGAGTTAGAAAAAAATACTGTTAATAATATGATTTTGGCATGATGTTTGACTTTCAAAGGGTTAAAAAAGCAAAATATCGATATTATATAAGGGCAAGCTTGTATAAAGAAGTGAATTTTATAAAACCCAACTTTTTTAGCATAATTTTACCTCAAACAGAACGGAAACTCTTTTTTATGACTCTTTTCACTTCCATCCGTATAATTTTCTACTGATTAAGCTACTTATGCTACCAAAAAAGATAAAAAATCTATTACACTCCCCCGTCATAAGGAATCATTTCATCAGATCTCTTTCACCTGTTTCCTGGTCTCTTACTTTCCTGGAGTGATTCGTATGTTCGTTAAACAAGGGATTTAAAACTTTACAATTATATATACGTTAATTAGGATAGTATATATCACACGTAAATATGTAAGACAGTTTTGCAATACTTTTAAAACCTTTTTAAAAAAAAATATTTCAGATATTATTGTAAAATATTCAGATATTTTTTTTGGCGGAAAAATAATGCTTAGTTAATGGTTACAGATAACAGATACATTTTCTTTTCTTAAATGACATAATAATATTCTTATTTTAAATTAAAATTTCATTTTGTCACTATAACGACGCCATATTTATTTTACGTTCAATATGTTATTCCACGAGCAAAGTTCTAAGGGTATGAAAAGAAAATTGGTATACAATTTGTTTATAATTTTTTAATGAATAATAATTTGAAAATACCTACAAATTTATACAATATGCATTATATTCTATATATACTATTAAACATAAATAATATTATATAAATGTACAAACAATACTGAATCTCAATAGGTCCCCCATCACTTTTATAATGCGGCCTCTATACCGAATTTTTTTTAATAAGTTATTTATTGGAATGTTAAATATTCTTCTATGTTGGCAGTATTCACAAAATATTAATTTTCAAATTCAATTTACTAATTTGATATAAAATAAGCTTTAACTATTAACAAATATAATAAATAAAATATTAATTTTTTTTAATAAAACGTATATTAAAAAGCTATTTATGAATTATTTAAAGAAAATATTAAATTTTAATATTTACGTGAACCATCATATTTGACTCCATTTAACTCTCGTAGGCACGGAATTATTGCAAATGTATTCGATGATGTTTTTGGCCAACATAATACTGAATCAAATGAAAATGGACAAAAGGATTCACTATCACCATCTGTTGCTTTTGATGATATTTTTGACGTTATTGTTGAATGCTGTATACAAAAGAAATATGAGAAAATTATTTTTATTATAAATCATAAGAAAATTTATTAGATAAAGTCAATAAAATATATTTTAAGAAAAAAAAAAACAATCTTTGTCAAGAAATCTTTTTATATAAACCATTAAAAAGCATAAAAATTATGAAAAATGATTTATTTTATGACTTGCGGTCTGTTGATTTTATATAAAATGAATAAATTTAAGCTTGAATGCCTTGTAGGAATTATAAATAAAAGTATAATGGTGTTGGATTTTGTATTAAGTCAACTAGAAAAATTGTAATATGTCCAAGAAATTACGGGAAATAAAAGAAAATTATTGTTTTGTAAAATTTTGAATAAAATAAATTATTTTATGTTTTAAACATTACAATTTACAACAATATTATATGTTTATTAATTTTGATAATTTTAATGACATTTTAATAATGAAATATTCGTGCATTACATTAAATTTTTATGATTTAACAAAATATATACTAAAATTTTATGAGCTGAGTTAATATTCTAATTTTGGAGCATAAGTATTGAAAAAGATAAATTAAATATTATTGTTTTTTATATCAGTTTTAGTTTTAGAAAAGGGTCCATGCGGGTTACAATACAAATCGAGGTTATTAAAATAATATAAATCGAGAATAATGCGGTAGTGAAGAAATTTAAAATAACAAATGATTTTACTTTTCCGCACGATGCAGTTCACGACGTTAATTTTTTCAGGACTTTATAAAGAGAAACTGTATCTTTGTAATTTTGCTTGTTAAATATTGCTCTCGAAATTCTTCAAACATTATTATTAATTGCATTTAAATTATACGAATTTTTAAAATACACAACTGTAACACAATTTTAAAACTTGATTTCTTGAATTTTCGAATTTATAAGCATTTTCGAATGCATGAACATTGTCACCTTAAAAATTTTAATATGCATTAATGTTAAAATTTTTATGTAAAAGAATTTTGTTCTTTAGGTTTAGCACTTCAAAATTCAAATTCGTTTCTCTATACTTACATAGATACAATATAAGATTGCATTGACGAAAATCTTAATAACATAGAAAGAAAATAAAGAAAAAAAAATAGAATCCTTGTACCAAATAGTAAACTCTTAAATTTTATTATTCAAAAATTCAGTAGAATTTCATTGATATAGTTCGATAGGCACATTAAAATTTTAGAGTTAAAAAAACTATTTATAAATACAAAACTGTGGTATACTTTGCTTAGGTTACCAATATTCCTAAACTTCATACTTATATTATTCAATCTGTGGCAAAAATTATTGTTTATTATTATTTCTACACAGAATGTTAAGTGTATTTCATATGGAATATTTTACCCTTATGCATAGGCATAAATTCAATTTACAATGTATATTGTAATTGTAGGTCCCTTTAAAATTTCCAGTACTTCAAAATACATAAATCGATTAAATTTGCATAGGTTTATAAAATGTACCTCCTACCTATGTCCTATATAATGGTACGTTCAATTTCCATTGCTTTAAGCGTATATGAGTATACATGCTAGATAAAGTATGCGGATATATAAAGTTGTATTAAAAGGTATGTACTTATATTTTGAATAAAAACCTTTAGGGAATTTAAAATTAAGTGGCTTAATTTTTTCACATTCTCATAAAATTTAGGTGTAAACAAACATAAGTGAGTTCACTTATGGAAATGTGTACTTTTTAAAAGTATATAAGAACTTAAAGTCTTACTATAAAGATGTTATCGAACTAATGCAATAATATTGAAAAATTTTATATACCAAATTCAAAGTGGAGCGTTTTTTATAGAGGAAAACTTTATTTTTCAAGGTTATGTACAAATTAATTCTGGAACAGTAATTATTTGGACTATGTCAAACTGCTGTACTATATTTACTTGGGCTTGATTTATTTTATTGCGCTCAATTTATTTTATGTTATCAAATATTGTTCTTTTATATCTTCTTACATAATATACACGGGGTGGTTCGGAACTAGTGTTAAAGCTCTTGGTGATAAAATGGTTTGAATTCTTGGATATGTTTAGGAAAAAATAAAAGTTCGTTCTCGTGTTTTGCTTTAAAATGATAGTATTTTCCACTTACATAAATTATGACTTTACTAAACAAACGGTACATGTGACAAGAAAATTATGTATGTATGGTTAAAATTCAATGGTAGCGCATTGAAGGGGAAAAATAGTCAACTGAAATAGCTACCATTTTTTTTTTTAAATTTTATGTTTTTTAACTTAAAATTTTATGTTTAAGCATATATTACACAAAAACAGTGTCATTGATTTTCAGAAAGTGAGAAAAGAGAGTCAGAAAATTTGTCAGACAAAATGCTTTCAATCTAATTGTAAACTTGCATTTAGATGAAAGAGCACCCGCTCTCATCCACCCAATACGAAAACGTTTTACTTAAAAAACTCCACATGGTCGACTTTTAACATCAATTCCAGACTTCGTTGTATAAAAACATTTCATATGAACGGTTCTTGTTTACAAAATTTTCATAATTTTTTATGTTTGAACTCAAACAGTTGGGTATTTTTTTTACTAAAATATTACCGAATTGTAATTATTAACGCAAGAAGAAATATCCTAATAATATTTTCCTTGTCTTCGTCCGAAATTAATATATTCTTAAATTTTAGTATTAAAATAAATCAACAGAAAACTTCAAAAATTCAATTTTATCTATTTCTGTTATATTTTGTATCATCGATAAAGAAAAATTTATTAAAACATGATACCAAATGGGCTATAGTAATTCAATAACATTGAATGGTTTTTCATTTACATGTTATGCATAATTATGTACGCATACAGGGTGTTTCGCATAAGGTGGTAAATAATTTGAGGGATGATTCTTTGATCAATTTCCAGCAAAAAATTGTATGGTCGATGCGGGGATGATTTTAAAAGATAGTCATTTTGGAGCTTGACAAAAAAGGTACCAGATTTTTCCTCCATATAAATAAATGCTAATAAATTTGGAACAATGCATCATAGAAAAACCATTAGAGGGTAGTTTTACAGACGATTGATTTCTTTTTATTTTCGGTCTTTTGCCATAGTTTTAGAGTTAAAGCTCGTCAACGTTAGAAATTTTTCTTTTCCAAGTCAGAATTGTTTTTTTTTTTAATTTTTTTAAAAAATCGAAATTTGTTTTTTTTTGCCGATGCGTTACAATGAGACCTAAAAGGTAATCCATATAACATTTTCCTTTATTTTTCGTAGTTTTTGCAGTAGAACGTGTTAAATGCGTTTAAAAAACATGATGCATGGTTCCGAAGTTATAAGAATTTATTTATATGCAAGAAAAATATGGTACCATTTTTTTCAACAAGCTGTAGCTCGAAAACCAGTATATCTGCATCCTCCCCCCGTCTTCCCTTTCGCAGAATTTTTTGCTTAAAATCGATGAAAGAATCATCCCTGAAATTATTTGCCACCTAATGCGAAATGTCCTGTATAACATGATTTTTTAAACGATACTTATACATATAGATATTATAGCTTTCATGTATTTTTAGGATAATTTGTCTTGTTGAAACAATTGGTGGTCCTTTTGCTTGTATTGGAGTAGTTTTAGTAAAATAAAACTCAAAATAAATATTTTCATTTAAGTATTTATAAATAAATAAAATGATGTACATAAATATTTTGTAGGTATGCAAAATACAAGAGAACGGTTTGTTAACAGTAATATTTATAATAATCAAGTACACAGTGCGCATTAATGAAAATCATCTAAAGTTGTAATTCATTTTTAAATTAAAATATTTTGCAAAACAATATATTTATTTTTAAAGAAGTACTTTGTATTTAAAGTATTCTTTCAAGATTTTATGTTTAACTTAAACTTTCTTTTAAGCTACAATTGATTGCAAATCATAGTAAATATGCCATAGCTGACTATGGGACAGGCTATAACTTTAAGTTGCCGTAATATTACCAAACAACTATTGAAGTTGTATGTTAGCTACTACATGGAGTTAAGAAATTTAAACGATTTTTATCAAACATAGCAGCCCTAATAATGCACCTGTTTTCACGAAATTTCTATATTAGCTCTAATAATTTCTGAAATAATTTCAAACAACTTTTGGAGTTGTATGGCAACTATCGCGAGAGCACTTAATAACTTTTAATAAATACAGCTGCCGTTTGAGCATATTTGTTTTTGTAAAATTTCAGTACTGTAGAATAAACAGTTTTTAAGATATAGGCAATTAATTTTTCAAGTTGTATGACAGCTACCAGAAGCATCCTACTAATATATACTTACTAATATTGACCCTACTAATATTGGCCCTACTAATATATTCGCTTGGGCGAAATTTCAATAACATATGTACCTCCAATAGTACCTCGATCACATTGAATTTAAATAGGGTTATGGCATTTACTATAATAAATCATTTACATTTGGTGAGCTTAGCTCAATTAGTTTTTGAGTTATCGTTGGGACAGACGGGCAAACGGACAGACAAAGCTAAATCGACTCAGAATTCGACGCTGATCAAGCAACATACGTTCGTACGGGTATAATTAATGCACAATACAGCTACTTATTATCTTTTAATAATTTTTTTTGATTTTCAATTAGTTTAGAGTTAAACTTGCACTCATCATATTTATATATATATATACATTTTTTGATTAGGTAGGTATCAACGACTTACCTAGGTATTAGAGCAAAATATTTAAAATGAAAAATTAATATGAAAGCTTTTTACTAAAGTGCCAGACATATTAAATAATTAGTATTTCATTAATTTAACTGCTCACTTCGACAATATTCATTTTAAAAACACTTACTGTACGTAATTATAACTTAATTTTTGTAATATTGTTCTTTGAATTTTGGCGTCATATTGAAGTAATTAGATAATTGGTAATAAAATAATTCCAATGCACATAAGAAGCGTTAATTTGTTAAATTTAAAATCACTTTATGCAGTATATACATATATATATCAGTGGCTT